GCCAATTCACGACAACATTCACCTCAAGGTCTATTATATTGTAAGGTAAAGACCCTACACTTTTAGAAAGAAACACCAATAATAACACAAACTTCTATGACGAAGCACTTAGTGACAGTGGGAAAGAAAAACTTCTTTTTAACAGAAAGAAACAAAAGGCAAACTGTAGGAGAGACAGCCAGAGTCTAGTAACTGGCCGTGATTAAATACAGTAATGTTGTATAAACACACTGAAAGTGAAAAGAGAAGAGTGGAGAAGAAATGCTCCATCCATTAAGCAAAGCCCCCCCGCTCCCCACCAGCAACATAAGCTTATTGCTGCATAACAAAGTTTTATTCCTAATCTTAAACATAGCACAGAATGAGTGTGCCACGCAAAAAGATTTTTCATTTTAATGTCTGCAATGTAAACAGTCAACACTATCACAAAAAAGGTCAGAACAATACTGAATATAAACTTCACAACAGAAAAAATTTAACATCACATTTGACACCAATTTCTTGCATAGGTAAGTAAAGTATTTAATTGAAAATAGTTATCATTTCTACAAAGTACACACAGTAACGTAAAAACATTTCACATGGTCCACTCACTGTACAAAAATACATTTTTTCAAATATCATATATTTACCACATTAAATAGAACAAAATGGTCCAAATATTCCAAATAAATTATTTGTCTTTACGCACAAATATCCGTGGCAAGGACCACTGTTAGAGGTAGAGAGAATAAACATACACTAGACAGGGGCACAACTTCACCCAAATCCAAAACTCCTATTTGCCACACTGTATTACACAAATGATAAAACACACTGATCCACAAACACTACCCTGAGGGTTTCATTCCAAAATTGGGACTATTTTAAAAATCACTCGAAGTGTGACAGCAAAGTTTCGATAATTTCATGGTTGCTGACTCACAAGACTCACAAGTGCAATCCATTGCAAAATGATATGGGCTGAAAACATTTATCAAACAAGACAGTTATGATTTTGGGTAACAACAACTAACCAAAGTTTGCATAGAAGCAGTCAATAATGACTTAAAATGGCAACAGCACCAACAAAACAGCTGTTTGGATAATAAGAACAGCCTTCAGCCTTGGCACAGCATAAATGAAGCTGAATTCAATTGAATATAAATTCTAAATTTATATTACAGTGACAGAAACAGTTGTTTTGATTCTTGTATAAATTACTGCACTTGTTAAATCAGACAGAGAATGATGTAATTCATTTTTAAGCATGTCTGAAGAATTTCTTTAACCACACTAGAATGCTCTGTGTTTCCTTTTGTGGAAAGTTTGGATTTTGAAATGAAACTCTCTGTAGACGTTCAGTAGCTTCAAAGTACATGCACGTCTGTACAAGCACCATATGTAAACAGATACTGTAACTAAACACACAGGCACTCTCACACACATACACCAATGTACATACATGTAACTCTTGTCACACTTGGGGTTTACCAGATGCCACAAAAAAACTGCATGTGAAAAAAAAAATTTGCCTCATAAAACTTCATTTAATTTTAGCCTCAATAAATGCGAAAAGACTGGAAACATCACTGCATTTTATATTTCAAACCATTAGAAATGAATTAGCAGGAGCCTGAACACATTCTTGAGGGCATAATGGAGGGAAATCCTGCATTTTCTCTTCAAATACCTTTAGTTTTTCCGATATTGGCAGATTGCAGACAGACAGAAAACAGAGGAAAACCACAGAATTGTCTTCATTTCAAAACAACATGCAGATGATTTAAAAAATCTTTCAGACCATCACACAAACATCTCCTTGTTGACCCACATGAGCGTACGCGTGTCGTTGGGTTTGCATTCGTATTCAATGCTGTTGAAGCTGTTTCCCCACTGGCAGTGATCCCTCTTGTTGTAGTTGTAGTACTTCACCTGCCACACCGTTTCAAACATTCCCGCCTCTGTGAACTGAAGCAGAAGCAGATGTACCACTGTGTACATACACTGGCGCACACAATGATGTAGAGCACATGCAGTGTGGTAGACTGGAACATGCATGGGTACTCTCTCTATAAAGGCACAGACTCCTGTTGCATCATGTGTAAAATCATTTGAAGATGCAGTGAAAAGGGAGCATACTGACAGCACAGATGGATGCACACACAGGCACACGCACGCACACAC